CCCACTGTTCACAGTTTAGGCACTTCTGCCACCATCTTTAGTTTGATGAGGAGTGTAACTATGCAGAGATACAATAGCAGATAAGAGTGACAATGAAACTAACTGTAATTATTAAGAATAGCGAAGACGAATTCCTATATATCGTATCCTCTAAACTCAGCCAGTCAACGCTACGCATAAGCGCTATATATTGTTACAATGTCAACAAAAAACTCCGTTATTACACTTACAGCAAAGAAAGCGCGCCTAGTAGCGAACAAAATCTTGGGAGCTTTTCTAGCCCGTCTCTACCTAACTGGGTAGTGCGATCCCTCGTGCAATGGGCAGAACTGCTCAATTCAGCGAAAAGCCGGCTTCAAGCCTCTCCTAGAAAGGACCGGAGTACTTGCGTTGGGTAGAGGGCAGCGAAATTGCAAAAGTGCGCCGCGAGGCGGCGTTTGAGCGCTTCGCGCGGATATCCGGCTGCAGATCGTCCAGTTAGCTGAAATACCTAACTACAAACAGTCATCTGGCTGCTTACAGCAACTGTGCACACGTGTTGTGTACATCACTTTTATTAATTGCTGTTGTATTTCGCGGAAACGGAATTATAATTTACAAAGCACGTAGACATTCGACAGTGAATAGGGCATTGTCAAATCAGCACGCTCTTTTTACCACAGGAAAACGGTTGGGTGTACCCGACTGACATTTTGACAACCTAACAAAGACATTGATTGGAGGGTTAACTTGAGTGCAGAATTTTTTTTCGGTGTATCGATAAACCTGTACAGCTGTATCATGATAGTATCTGGGTCAGTGTATTGCGAATAGTTGTTTCACCACTAGAAATTTGCTTCTATATTAAATATTAATACAATGATTGTGCATCAAAATTTATATTCGTAGCTAGGTTTATGTGCATGCTCCATGTAAACTATATATGTATGTGCCGTTGTGTATGTGAGAGCCACACGAGCAGGATTTTGTGTTTCTGCTTCAGCCGCCAATCAGAAACCAGTCAAAGAGGAAACAAGTACTAGTTCAGCACAGCAGTTCTATGATGACATGTACTTTGACTCAGATGAAGAAATAGATGGTGAAAACAAATTAGGTAAGAACATAATTATCATCATGTAGAGAAGAAGTGTATATTTATGTCTATATTGCTAGTTATGCTATTACCTTCAGGGGCGGATCCAGAGGGTTTGGGTGACCAGTTTCCATAGTTCTAGTCACAGCTAGGGGGGTCCGGGGGCATGCCCCCC